ATTCAAATTCTCCTTACCTTTTTGATATAATTACTGTTAAAAGTTAATAAGAATTTGTCTTTTGATAAACTATCGAATTTCTGTCTTATTTATATTTTACTTTGCAGTTTTTATTAATCTTATTTTGTTTTTTTGTTGTTTTTTTAAATTTTTCTTACTCTTATTAAAATTTTACATTTTCTTCATCTTGCAAATGCAGGAAAACCAACTATTAAAATTTTACATTTTCTTCATCTTGCAAATGCAGGAAAACCAACTAAGAGAATCAACTAAGAAAGCATCTGCATGTACAACACCACCTCCTCTTAAGGTATTTTTTATTCAGATAACTTGCTTTGGTGCATTCTACCTTTATTTAATGAAAATATATATAATACATAGTTTCTGATATTTTAGGTTCCAAAAAGAGTCAGGTCTCCTACATTGCTAAACAGTCCTGCTTGTAACCAGAAAACTCTCCAAAGAAGGAATGAAGAAACATTCAACTTGGCCCAAAAAATATACGGAGCTACAAACAGCAACAAAAGGCCAGCACTAGATGGACTCTTTGACACCTTGCAAAAGAAGTGTAAGATTAATGAGCTAGGGGATTATGTATTGACTAACCAGAAAGTCACAGAATATGTARTAAACAAAGTCCAAAAAAAGGAAATAGATAATTTTACTAAATCACACCAAAATGTATTRAGAAGTATAGCAGCATACTATTCTGCTGGTGTTATGGGTAAAAGAAAGTACCAGGCAGTGCGTCTTGCTACCTCTATGACATCCAGTAAACGCAAAAGGGGTGGTCGAACTGGTCTGAAATKTTTGGGGAATCGTACAATTCCTAAATTACTTACTTATAATCAGTTGATAAAGGAAATCAATGCTATAGATATTGGCAATGTATTTCCAGTTGAAGAGCTGTTATCAGGTGATGATGAAATTAGCATAAATGGTAGTTTTCGTGACCTGAGAGAATTTCTCCCAAGACTTGCTAACTTCTATTTAAGCAACTCAAAGAAAGATAGTCTTAGATGGTTTGGTGAAACTGAAGGTAACTTCWARKTTGCTTTTGGGGGGGATGGTTGCCCTTTTGGAAAGCATGAAACAGCTTGCTCATTTCTAATTAGTTTCCTCAATACAGGAAAAAAGGTTGCATCTAGTAATGATAATTTTTTAGTCTTTGGTGCAAACTGTGAGGAAACCTCTTTGACAGTTACAAAATATGTTCAAGCTGTTTACAAACAGATTGTGGATATAGAAAGCAAAGTTTTTCAAGTACAGGGTTTACATGTGACATTCAAATTTTCTGAGCTCCCCAATGACATGAAAATGCTAGCCATGCTTGGAGGAGAATTGTCCARTTCTGCTAGATTTTTTTCTTCATTTGGAAATGTTACTTTTTCAGATAGTGGTGACCTACATGGGACTTTTGGCCAGGGTCAAAATCACATGTGGAAGCCATGGAGTTATAAACACAGGGTTGAAGTAGTCAAGCTTGTGGAAAATTTCAAGAAAAAGTYAGAAACTAAACAGGTTACAAAGCAAACTAAAAGAACTAGTATCACAGAATTTATTGCTAACCAGAAGAGTCGCCAGGAACATCTTCCTCTTATAGGGAGACTAATTGATAGAGCTCATGTTGAACCRTTGCATCTGAAAAACAATGCATGGCAGTATTTTTTTAGAGCTTTATTTAAGGAAGCATTAGGAAAGTCCAAGCTCAAACCTTCACACAAACKTTTTTCTGATATCAGTCAAGACATCTGTGTTGCTAGAGTTGTAACTGCTTTGCAGTTTGAAGTGAAGGCAACCCGACTGGCAAAGAAAGTTAGGATGTGGTATAATGAAACACAAGGGAAAAAGGGGGACATGCAATACAGGTTTACTGGGAAGGAGTCAAGGATGTTTTGCCATAATTTCATGAGACTTATAAGGCACC